GTGAACACAAGTATCTCGTCAAATTAAACTGAAAATTCCAAAGCTCATGCACCAATTATGACGAGATAAATTCACGCGAATATAAAAAATTCAGACATACGATGCATGCAGATTTGAATGCGACAAATACGTAGTTTGACTCTAGCCAATTTTTTAATTGATTTTTTATCTTGAATATTTTCTATATAAATTTCAAAATTTTCTTCAGTATTACAAAGCATATGCTTAATTTACATACTTGTAATGTATAAAAATGGACATTCAAAAATAAATATTTGTTATTTTGATCAATACACTTTTTCATTTCCTTCAATTTGAACTTGACTTTTTACCGACTTTTTACTTTGAACCGACTTTTTACACGTATTTTCAAACATTATGACTTTCTATGTTGGAAGAAGATCTAGAAATTATACAAACACAGCTATGTAAATGGATCAATACAAAAACGTATGAATGGAAATCTAGAACAGGATTTTCTTCAACCAAGTAACGTGATAATTACACAAGGTAGCTTTGTTTAAATCTTAATTTGTATCACTAAGAAATATGATAAGCTTTATTATATCACTGACAGTATATCTAACATGAATCAATAAAACCTAGTTAAATTCTAAGAATGTTTTAATTTTATTCATTAGATTTTTTATCTGAATGTCTACAATACTCTTAGATTTATTCTTAAACTTGATTCTCAAAATGATTCTAAAATTAACTATCACAACAATGAGTTGATATTTCAATCATATTAATGAAATAATAACTAAGTTCTTACAGTTTCTTCGAAATAATTCTTTTTTTATTTAAATACAAATTCTATCTAAATTTTTTTTTAAAAATTTTAATCATTATGAGTTTTTACATAAAATACATATGAATGTACATAATTCTATATCCTAAAATATAGAATTTCGATCAAATATTTTTCAATGAACGCAACAGACTGCTAATAAGATAACATTTTGATAATCTACTGGTGCATTCGATATTTTGAGTTTTCATGAAAAATTCCATGACAGGGGATATATCTTTCCAAGCCAGGATTTATTTATATTTATATATATATATATACAGTACACAGATAATTAACGTGTTGAAGAAATTAAGTAGTTGAAAATCGATTCTAGAATACTGAAAATATTGAAAATAATTCTGTCATTATGAATGAGTTTGAAATTGGAGTAAAGAAAAGATGTTATTGAACCAAAGATTGCGAAATCGTCGAACGTTTCAATACTTTGTATCTAGATCATCGGTGTAAATTTCTTGTCGATGTATGGTGAATATACATATGATGGGTGAATCCCATCGGTTAGAATTCATTTAAAATTCATAATGAAGAAAAAACTTTTGAGGTGTACCCTATATATCGAAATTAATAAAAAATTCAATACTTAATTAGTGCATTTACCATGAAATCCTTAATTAGTACATGTCTTTATATTGATGTAGTTTACACTATATAAATAACAGAGAACCTTCATTATGTGTTCTACACGGATTAATGAGATTGTCCTCAGTTGAGACATGCCAGAGGATGTCGGGGTTGTGTGAACGAAGTCCACTTCATTGATGAGATTTGGAAGCATGTGAGTTGTTCAGTGATGCACCATATACTAGGAAGCTCATAGTATACAATTTCCATACCTTTTAAGCGATATTATTCAGCTAAAGTGGTAGACTCGGTCTGTGCTATTTCTTCACTTTTCAACTACTTGAGGGAAAATCTCTTTTATTCCCATCAATGGTACTATGAGTCTGAAGCTTCCTTCGCTGCACTGCTGAACCTGTATGATGTGACTGTCAGGAACATCGAAACATTCACACAAGGACCGCCGAGAGAGATCATCGATCGTTCAGTTGGCCTGCTGGCTGGTACCTTCATAAAACTATTAAGTGCAGAATGAATCTATTGGGGTATGGACCATCTGTACCATCTAGAATCTAGCATTGGTGACTGATCCTTCTAAACTGTCCTCGATTAACTTGTCAGTACTTCCACCACTAACAACCCGCACCTCTATATTAGAGACATGACTTCCGAAATTCTAGCCGCGGCCTCCACTGCAGAAAATTCGGGTACGGTCTTTGCATTTTATTTCATCAGGGAATTGTAATGTGCTGAGAATTTATTGGTTTACTATCAAAGCCTCCCGACTCTGAAGAAAAAAGAGGATGAAACTTCTTCGAGATGTGTAATGTAGTGAAGTGATATTCCACTGTGACTTGACTTAGCGATCATACAGCTGGTCCGATTCGAACACTAGGAGATGATTTCCACAGGGCTTAGTCATGGTCCCTGTCCATCGGGCATTTAAAAAACATTCGACACATTCCATTGACGGCCTTCGAGCTAGGGAGACATTGTGATCTCAAGTACGAATATTCGTACTACATAAACACGCGGTATGTGGACTGATCAGGTTTCAGTACGACGCTCTATGAAATTATCCGAATTTGAGTACGGTTTATGCAACAGTTTGGAGAATATTAGCTTGAGGACATTTATACTGCCTCTCGTTCGATATTCTATTGGGACAAGTTTGACACTGAGTAATATCCTCACGTGACCGCATAGCCATGAGAGTGCGAACGAGACTTTGAAACGCACCGATAACAACCACCGTACCGTAGAGATCTGGAATCTTACAGCCTTGCCTTGCTAGTAAGTTGTTAGCCGTATTGTTCGTGCACACTGGAGAGACGTATGCGATCACTTGCATCTGTGCGAGAAACTACTGTTACGGGGAATATCATGTGACGAGATCCCGACTGGGGAGCTCGGTAGCATATTACGCCAGTCGACATGGCTGGCATGCCAAAGCAACACGAAATGCGTTTGCAGCGGTATTATCTCACGGAAAACATGCGATCTCGCATTCAATCTCCAACAGTCCAACTGCACCTTGTGGACTGGGACTGGCACCGCAAGGCGCTTTCAACCAACATTTCCTGTCTCTGGTTTGGATCAAGGCCCGGATGCATGCAAAGCGTCGGGTTCATTCACCTCACACCTCACGCGCGGCAGGGTTCGCAGTTCAGGCCTCGGAGACCAGCGGTGTGATGACAATGATATTCGTGCAGGCGATCGTGAACACTCCTACGTTACACGACAGCCAAGCCAGCCAAGCCACAGGTTCCACCAGCTTTGCATCACTTCGGTGCTTGAAATTCACTCCTTCGATGCCGGACACCGACAAACTTGTTCGCTGACGAGCTCTGTTTTGTTGTCTCGGAACTGTTATGAGCTCCGAGGGTGTAGGATGAGGAGCGAGCAGGCGAGAGCAGGCGACGGACGAGAGACCTATTTCAGGGAAGATGGTGATGCTGCTGACCTGACAGAAGTAGGGGCCCAGGACGCCCGAATCGTGACGCCGAGATGCAGCTCTCGTCCGTCGATGCGCCCGCGTGGAGAAACCGTTGAGCTGCTTTCGGTGCATGGACCCCGCCCGCGATTACTCCGTCGAGAGATTTGAGTAATTCGCGATCGATGATCGGGGCTTCGCTTTTCAAACAACTCCTGCGACGAATTTACTTTCGCCCGCTTTACCTCCTCCCGCTCGCCAAACGACATCCATCCGCGCCATGGGCTGCCAGCGGAGCCAGAACCGGGGTACGAGTGAAGGGGAGTCGCCGCCTTGCTGACTGGGAAGAGATGACACCAGCCTTCAGGTAGTGGAGCAACGCATCAGTGCTTTAATTTATTGCTGACTGGGAATATAAAGTCGCCGCTGACTAAAACGGACGAAACTGCCCGGTTCTTGCTCATAACGTCTCGGGCCCTCGGCGCGGTCGTGCATGAACCTAGCTCCGATGCGCGCATAGGGCTGAAGTTGGCACGAGGAGAACGCAATGGTCGACCGGATGTGACAGGCGCGAGTTCACAGGATCAAAAGGCCTCTGACACTTCATCTTGTCCGCTGGATGTGCAACCCTCAGGGCGATGGTATGGGGTTCACAAGTCACAAAAGCGCCATACACAGAGCCCCAAAGTCCATGGCGGAAAGGGTTGAGTCTCGAAAGGAGAGTATTCATCACCTGGACCCAGTTCCTCGCAAGTTTTCTGACACGCACGCTGAACACAGTTCTTTGAAGCTGGGCCGCGGCACATCCATTATATCGGTGAGGCTCAGTCAAAACACCACTCGCGCCGGTGAGAGGAGATGTAGCCAGTGCCATGACAATCGGACGTACAATTATTGACACGCATAGACAGACGATCGATTCACACAAAGGTAATTCGATAATGTTCAATTTTTCATTTACAGAAAATGTACAATGGAGTTTGAGGTCCGTCAATCCCTCCTTCTACATGGAGTGGACATCTCAATCATGTCTTCGTCGGGTAAACCGTGCTCTCTAAGGCTAATGCCACTGACGTGAGAAAAAAATCAGATCCGATAGCGGATGGTGGGAACAACTGCAGTCCTTCCAAGGACCTCATTCGTTGCAGGCGCTGCTACAAAGGGCCTGGTGTTCCTGGTTTGATGGAAATGCAAAGACATGAGATAAGACACTGAGAAATACACAATGACACACAAGTGCAACACGAAATTTGCGGATTTTGAGTCCGGCAACCTAAGTTGAATCAAACATACCAGGACGCGATTCACAACTAGGTGACAAACAGAAGGGAAGACTGTCTCTGCTTCTACTGCAACACACTGAACCTGCTGAACCTGCCAAGTAAAAAAATAATTGAAACTTTCTTCCGTCGGAGTCAAAACCAACTCTAAAAAAAACTGATCTGGCTGCGACAATTAAAGAGTTGACATGACAATTAAAGAGTTGACGCTGTTGACATGAAGATGCAAACCCGAAGAGCTTTTGTTCTCTATAAAGAGAGGGGTCAAAATCTTTAAGAGCTGCAAGTAATTTCAAATAAACTCATTTCCAACTCTACACTGGGAGCTTAGAATAAGAACTGATAACATCTGCGAGCTCAGTGGATTACAAGACTGCTCATCCCAAACCTCTAAATTGAACGCTTACATCGAGTGGTCTACAATTCAGATATTTTATTACCAACGTTGAGCTCTTTCGACAACTATGCCTTGATTGGGTCATGCCTCATCAACACCCAAAGGGCTGCCCACCATGCACGTCGAGGTACATACTTACAAATACAAGGAGCATCCAGGTGGTCATCAGGCTAGACGAGGTTCGTTAACATTTACATTCCGACTACGGTCGTAAGGTGGACTTCAAAAACAAGTGACTACAATGACCACCCAGAAGGTGAGAGATTCTAAAAGGGATTAGAGTTAAGCTCCCGGAAGCAAAAGGCATAGAGAATTTTCAGTTACTTACTCTTAAGGACTAGGCGTCATCTAGCTCATAGCTTCTCCCCCATGTTTTTAAACCTTAAGACGTATGTATCTCGATGGATATATGCACATTGTACTCCCAACCTCTACCGATCTGACGATCGAGCAGTTGAGAAATCCCTATGAAGGGGGATTGTTGTCCTTGCGCTCCCGACAGTTGCCTTTACATTTGCTCTCTGTGAGCTCCTGCAAATATAAGCAGAAGAAAAAAAAAACCCGTAAGGACCAACAGACTTGAGTGCCAAGCACTAAACGAGCCCCAAACATCCCAAACACCACATACATCCGACATACCCAGCCCAGGCTTATCAGAATGTAACCAAGCTGCTACCTGTACTTGTCGTTGGAGCTGTTTCACATATTCCACTGCCTCGTCCAGCATATCAGCTGTATTTGTTTGCTGCTTCATTTCATTATCCCACGTAAGGTACACAATGTCAGCATACTTCACTTCACATTACCTCAACATGGAGAGCAAAGAGCGAACATTCATAAAGAGCTCTCTGCGATAAATCTTTACAATGTGGACTTCCACTTACTTTATCCATGTTAGGAACAAGCTCCTGAAGCTTCCTCATCCGTTCGCTGATGCGAGTCCTCCTCACCTGCCAAGAGATTTGACTTCACATTCAGTTGCTTCCCCACCCAAAATACACGCGATTTTTCACAGAACAAGCTACCTTCTCGTCCAATGCTCCCCCAGCTGAGTTCAATCTTCGCCATGACAACCGAAAAAACTTCAACACTTCGTAAGCTTTCAACTCACCCGCTCTGCAATACTCCGCGGATGTGTGGCACAGCCGCGCTTTGCTCTGATGCGGCAAGGGACAGACTGAAGAATTTCGTCCGTCATTGTGGAATTCTTCGACTTTTGAGTCGGCAGACTCATATGTCTAGTCAAGGGCGGTGGATTGTGGTCCTGAGAACTCCTCTGTAGACGTAACAATTTCAATTCACGAGCAGAAGTCAGAAGTTCATCTTTCATCGATTGTTCAGTAAGAGCACAAGAAATCAACTCTTCGATATTCTGCCACCTCGCGCTAGAGAATGTGCAACAAAACTTTCATGCAAAGCTGGTTATATTTCGTATTCCTCAGTGTGTCAGCACGTCCTAATAGAGTACTGAAAACGCCACAGACGAAGTATCTCACCAAAGGATCCGCCATGAACGGATCTCCGAGAGGATCTATTTCCATATCCCGAAAGCGCTTCCGAGCAGCAAAGTTTGTGTTATCCCACGAGTTGAGGTACGATTGCGCATCCTCCCACCCTACGTCCATTCTAGACATCATTCCGGGAGTGCCTGGTCCAGTACCTGCACCTCCATTTTCCTCGGACGTGCCCCCAGAGAGACTTTCAGCTGGAGAATGGGCAAGTGGACTCGATAAGCTCGGCTTCTCACTTTTAGCAGCTCCTGCCATCGCTTGAACGTCAATGGATAGTTGAGCAAGAAGCCCAGCTGGAGAGCTGCTCTGTCGGAGAAGGCTGTTGTTGTTGTTACCCTTGTGTGCAAGTCTGGTACTTGTTAGACCTCCCAAGGTGCCCGAGGACCCAACACAAAAGTCATTGCCAATGCTCTGACCAAGATTGCCCAGAGACATTTGTCCAGCATGTGTGTTATCCTGCTGGCCAAGCAAACCCATTGTTGAGGACAAACCCATGCTCGAACTCAACCCCATACTCGAGGGCATCTGAGAATTCATCTGAGAGTTCATCTGAGCATTCAATTGGGAGTTCATCTCTGTATTTAGCTGCGAGTTCATCTGAGGGTTCCCTGCCAAGTTCTCGTGTAAGACCTCCATGGAATGTTTGTAAACCGACTGGATAATAGGAGGCTTTGTGGGTCCGTTGACCGGTCCCAATTGATCATAGTGGCCACCTGGCTTCCCAAGTCGATCAAATTTACGAGTGTTCAACATGTACTTGTCGTACACAGAATTAGAAGAATGTTCGGTTTCCATCTGCTCCAAGCTCGTGTCCGTAGATGGATTCAATGGCGGCAACTCGGCATCGGTGAAGAATGAACTCAGCGAATTATCGAGTTGGCTCATGGGTCTTGGGACCACGTCTTGTTGAAAATCAGCTAGACTTTGTAGAAGAGCGCTCGGAGCAGAGTGATATCGCGCCAATCCACCTGGCACGCGGTAGGGGTCTGTAAGCGGCGCAGAAGTTTGATCCAGTAGAGCAGAAGGATAGTCGGATGGCATGGGCCGAAAATCCATTTCCATCATACCACTTCTTCCATTTATCCAATCCTTTTGGGGGCCATTCGATGACGTCGCACCCCACAATCCTGGACGCCTTGCCCCATTCTTGGGTAGCATCGGAGAGCAGGGAGTTAGGTGTGGGCCGCCTTGATCCTGAGCAGGCAGATTCAGAGCCTGAAGGGGCATGAGAGGTTTCCCACCCGACTGGTCGCTATAACCTCGTGTGGAGCCGCCTGGGCCGAGCATCGAACTGCTGTCAAAGTCAAGTTTCCCATCCATATTAATCATCAACAATACAAATCTGGGCCGTCCTTTCCAATATCATGCAATCCCTTCACCTTTCCCAGTGCAAGACACTCTGACCTTCACATATCAGTTCTTAAGGACTGACACGGCTGCAACAAAATCCTGGGCATATCACGTGATTGGCAATACCGATTGCGATTCCTGAAATGTCCTTGCGAGATCTTTCATGCACTTAGGATCTATGAGAGGGAATGACACCACTTACACGGGGCTGTAAGGCTCTACAGATGACAACGAACCCCCTCGCAAGCTGCTCGGAAGATGGGGAAAGCTCAGACCAGTCCCTTATATTTCAACGCTTTTAAAGACTCGGAAAAGATTGTAAGTGGATCGAGTGGCTCAGAAAGGAAGAGACTACAGCTGGCAAGGTCGAGCAAATCTCACAGCAGAAATCTTGAAATGTGGTCGATTGGTTCATGCGGACCTCGGGACGAGGAAAACTAAAAGAAAGAGATGACGGAAAGCAGAGGAAAGGCAGAGTGTGACTAGCTGCGCGACCCAAAGCTCGACAGTTTGGTAGGCTAGATGTGTCTTCAAACGACCTCCTAACGTCAACTCCCCGCTGAGCGCTCTGTTCAGGTGCTGTTCAGGACGTAGAGAGAATGAGAGTGTGATGAGTTCGGGCTGGACCCCGCCCATGCTTGTGTAGGGACGAAAATGTACCTGGAGACCCCTTCGCTTTCAGAACTTGTGGCACCCCGATACGTCCGACACACTTCAACACACTTTTGGCAATACTGCGGGCATTGTCTAGCTAGTGGTCCTGCCCAACATGTCGCCTCGTGTGCGTGGCTCCGACTTCTACCTGATGGATGGTGCTCACTCACTCCCGCTAGCGTTCGCTCTCAAGACAGAGGAAGGGACAGGACAGGACAGGTCCGGACCACTTACTCGGATGAATAAGAAAGCTGCTGTGTTTCACAATAGGCGGCTTGGAAAGACGATGCAGAGGCGGTAGAGGATGTGACTAGACCGGCAAGGGAAGAATCCACGGTGTTTTGCTGAGTGTGCAAAATTGCTGTGAGCTCCTCATCCTGAGATGTCATCCCAGATGCACACATGCTTCAGGGCCCAGCCCAACCCACTGACTCGGGTGATTATATCGCGATCATCCTCGTCCTCGGAAGATTACTCGCAGACTCTCTCCAGTTGAGAGAATTGAAGGAATGAATCTCACGCTTCTGGCTTGATCTTCTAATTCTGCACGTCTCGGATATCGGGGAAGGGACCGACCAGAGCATACAAATCCGTCCCAGCACTCTAGCCCAACCAGCTAATTAACCCTCTGCCCTCCCTCGCGCTCTCGCTCTCGCGCGCGCTCTCTCTCCTGCACTCGGCCCTCGCGTTGCCTGCCTTCCACTTATCTCAGACCCGAATCTACTATACACGCTTTCGGCCAAGACAAATAAAATCTGACTTGCTCCTTTCTCGCTCTCACTATGTCGTGTGTCTTGACATCCCTCCGGCTCGCCCCGATCTTCCTTGCTTCTCTCTGTGCTGCTGCTTCTCTTCTGCTTCTTCTTCTGCTTCTTCTTCTTCTTCTGCCCAGCGAAAAACAACAGCCAAAACGGGAGCTCAGAAAAGGACTCCGTGTCTAAATCCGGGCCCCCGAACCTCGAGAGAAGAATATCTCCCCTCGCCTCCCCGTCCCCGCCACTGCACTCCACCCCGCCTTGCCCCACCCCGCTCCGGGCAGCGAGCGAGGCAGGGCAGGGGCAGGCAGCCCGGGCTTTGCGGGGGGCGCCGGAAAGCAAGAAAATGCGTTTGATGCTTCGCAGCGCCAAGCCCACAAGAGGACGGAGTACGTTCGCCCCCTCCCCGTGACGTAAGTTTACCCCTTCCCACACACAAGCAGCGGATGAAAGCTGGCGGCTGCTGCGTCTGTGATCTGTGAGTCTGCAGGGCGCGGAAGGAAGCAAAAGCAGGCCCAGGCCAGGCAAGGGAATTGCAGTCACTCTCTCTCTCTCCGTGCCCCTCGGCTCGGCAGGCACGCTCCCGGGTCCCGACCTGGCCTCCTCATTCTCGACCATCAGACTTCCCCGAACCGGAGGCCGGAGCTGCGAGCGAAGTCAGCGCACGGCACGTGTCACGCCATTCAGGGACTGGATGACCCCACCCTCCACGTTGCCTCTTTCGCGACCGCGCTCTCCGATCCGCGTGTCATCGCTTATCATTCGCAGTTACCCGAGCTTCCATCCGCTCTCGTGCTCCCTCTTTCTTTTGTTTCTGGCCAAGGGACGGCCCTCTTCCTCTCCCCGTTCCTGACAACATCACCACCGCCCTCCTGAAGCTCCTGAACCCGCTCCGCCTGTAACGGAGGACGAGAGCTGCAACCGAGCCTTGGGACCGAGGAGGTCAAGCTTGGACCCCGTCGCCGAGAAGACGGACGTCCTGTATTCTCAAGAACTAATCAAGTTCTTCTTTGCCCGGCTCCTGGTCAAACTCCTCGAGCAGCCGTAGTCAAGTCCGACTTCCGGTAAGCGAAGTAAGCGAACTTATCGAAGGATCCAGCGCGGCCGGTCACCCGTGGCGATATGTCGCGCATGTGACTTCAATTGCTCCATCCCTCCCTATCGGAAGTACAGCAATAATTTCTTCAATTATTTTGTTCAAGTTTCCGAAGAACTTGTGACATACTGTACGTGTTGGATGATGCTCACAAGATGAGAGCTAAATCGCTGCGATTGACCTATTTCGGTGGTCTCGGACAAATGTGGACGGTTGGGCTATTCTTGGACGTACATACAGGCGTGATTGCAACAAGGCTTGCTCTCAAAGAGCGTACCTTGACGCAATTGAAGCTCTCTCGGAGAATCCAGCAGCAGAAGCACAAGATGCAATAACCATGACACATGCCATGAAGGAGCTAAGAGCCAAAGACATGAGGCTACGCAGACTTCTAGTGAAGACTCCCTGCACTGGGAAAAGTTGGACATGTCTTGACCCTGACTTGCAGAGTCAGGTGTCAACTTGACTCGAGTGGAACCGAGGACGGGCGGAAACACACGTATTTTGAAGAATTTAATATGGAGCGCTGGCTTTTTAGAAACTTGCGCTCTGGAGATAATGCAACCTGCGGTGTGCCAGTTCTTGCCATCCTTCTTGCGATATTACTCGGTTTCTCTGCCTGTTAAACAGTCGGACGACCTTTGAGGAACAAAAGTGTCCATTCATTTCCTTGCATTTTGGTTTGGGTTTCCGGATCCTCTTTCCATTCATTCATTCATTCATGTGCAGTACCATATGGCGGCTCGCATGTGCAACTCGCTGATCATCTGGAAACTCAGCTTGATTTGCCCAGTAGAATTTCAGCGTCTAGCACTTGGTGGTACCGTACTTTCCCATATCCTGAGTTGACTCAACATAATGCAAGTTATATATGGGCATAATCATGATCCTAATCTCCACCAATGGAGTACTCGCTACACTCGTACCAGAGTCCAGGCCATAGGAAATCCATTCGGGAGAACACGAACAGTTTGCAGCCAGCTGAAGGCCGCGCTCGTCCATGGTTGCGTCCGACGAGCGGATCTTTATAAATACAGTACGTACAGTATAACGGAGCTCGCCTTCGCCAATCTCCCATCGTCCAACGGTCGAAGCAAAACCGCGCGACCCAGGCATTGACGCCCCTGTACGGAGAGAGTATGGGGTACAAGTATCCATCAGAGTGTCAGCCGCAGCAGCAGGAAGATTTCAAAACAGCGACGTCGCGCAGTACTGCTGGAGTGGACGCACATTCATTCATGGTGAATAATGGGATCTTCCGTTCTCAAGTGCCGAGATGGCTGGCTGCTTGAGACGCACAGCGATGCTGATCTGCAGGAGCGCCCCCGAAATCCCGCGGCACCGTCCGATCGCAGACCTTGGGGCTGAGGCACGTCACACCAAGATGAGATTACCCGTCTACGTGGTGGTCGACGTGGCGAGGGACCTCGGCCCCAAGACAATATAGGCCAATGAGAATTGACTGCTGGTCCTCGCGAATTTCCTCGTCGGCAGTCAACCGGAGCTCGTCGCTTCGGAGGGCGAAGCTCCGAGGCCTCCGCGAAACCACCGCTCACTTAGCGACGGCTGAACCGGTATAAACCTCGTACGTACGAGGCGCGCGGATGTGGCAGACGGTGAACTGTATGTACCGCAGTTGTGGCAGACGGACGGTAGGGGCGGTAGGGGGGAGGGGGATGTTCTCAGGTGAATGGTATGCATCTCCAACCGCACCCTGTACTGTAACGTTAGAGGACAGGTGTGGCAGAGCCATCGATTTTGTTATCTCTAACTGTAACGTCAGACGGACGAGAGAGCGAGATGGATGTCGTACGAAATCTACCCCTGCCAACGAGTATCGATGGGTATGGCATTGAGTGCAGGGCACGGCTGTGTTGTGTTGTGTAGGCCTGCCTGCCCCTAGCCTCAATAGTTGTGTGGGCGCCCGGTCGTACATCGGCGCGAGAGAGGTGAAGGGTCGAACGCAGACGACATTCCACCCACCATATATAAGACGTTCGGCCCCGCAATTGTGGCTCGTTTCGAGCCCGTTCTGCTGCGCAACGGCGAGCGACGCCCGAACCCAGGGGCCCCGGGGCTTGAGCCGGAGCCGAGCCGAGCCGAACGAGAGGACAGCATTGCGCGGCCTCGGGGCCTCGCCCGCTTTTTTCACATGGGATGCATGCACGCTCTGCTCCGGCTCGAGGTTTGGACTCCGCTGTGCGCATTAGCACACTTACGATGATGGCCTGTAGTTGGCGTCCGCTGATCCGCGATCCGGTTAGTCGCCGATCTACAGTAGGCCGCCCATAGGCCAGATTACTGCTGGTGTACACACACGAACACACGCACTCATTCAGCATCCTCGATCGACCAGCATCATTCTTCGGGAATTTGGAACATCTCTTGCGGTCTCGGGTGTCACCACCGTCTCGTGCCTTTCGTCTGTCTTCCCGTTGTTCGTGTTGTTGTTGCTGCTGTGGTTAATGTTGTTATTTGTGTTCGTTGTACCTACGTATGAGGAGGAGGAGGAGGAGGAGGACGGCCACAAATTGTGTTCATGATCGTCGAATCTATTCACACAGCAATAAAAGTCACCGCCGAAGAGGAATAGCCTACTGCGGCTCCCTGTAGGCTAACTAGCTTACAAGTACGAAAGCTTATCCATGCAAATTTTCGGCTTACGATCTCAATCGTCTCATTAGGAAGAAGAAGGAGAAGATATCATGGTGGGGTCGAACCTGGTGAGTGGCGAGGGGAGCCGAACTTAGCCCAGTCCGGGTCCAAATTCGCTCTTCTTCTACTTCTTCATTCCTCCCTCGGGCGGATCGAGCATTCGAGCTTAAGATGGTATCGCGCTGCAGGCATCTTCGTTATGGCTTCCATTAGAAGGATAGGGTTTGTGGGGTCATGACTCATGATGCTTGCAAACGGTATGCATACAACACTTGCTTGGACTTATAAAATCATCATGATCAATCGCAGCGTATGGGTTCTTGATTGAACTTAAGCTTTGTTCCCTTGTCTCTGATGAGATAGGTTGATGCAATGAAATCGAACAATCCGGAGATATGTCTCTCCTGGAAGTCGGGGCGTTGTGGGGTCTACTTTCTCTGTTAGGCCAGTGTTCACCTTGACACCCATATCCAGTTGTCACCCGAAATCACCGAGTTCCCATCCATCCCCGCATCCAGTTCGACTTTCTTGTTGATCCGAATAACGGATTCAGTAAATCGGGAAATTACGATCAGATATTGCATATAAGAATATGGAGCGGATTTCACACCAGGAAAATAATCTCGCTAAAGAAACAAACATAAAGTCCTAGGGGACAAAACACTTTTCGAAAGCCTAGGAAGCGGTCAAAGTAGGGTCATGAGTCTTACTGGTGGTTGATGTTCTCCTCGATCACGATAACAGAGAACATACCGTATAGGAAATGACACAAAGGTTGTGGGGGCCGTTGGGAGCATGATATTACTTTATATGCGTTGGCGGGGGCCCTACAAAAGCGAGTGTAATTCCCCAAAAGAATGCAATGAAAACATATGTTTGTGGTGATGGCACTGGGAAGCTGAAGTGGCCCAGCTCATTCATTCAGGTGGAGGGTGCATGGTTCAAGGCTTTTGCAGCCACATGCTTATCACGTATAGTTTACAGGAGAGCGTATTCTATTATAAAAGAAGCTTCCGGGTAAGTAAGCTACTCCGCTGCAGTTTCTTGTCTTCCTCTTTCACGTTGACAATGGCGCAAGATAAACTAAGAAAATCGACGCAGCGCTTGGACCGTATAAGGGAGGCCGAGTGAAGAAGTGAATAGAAGAATTGGAGACCATTGTCTTACAACGCATGAGAGAGGGAATGTCAACTCTCCGCTGGGAGACAAGTTGTCTAGGCTCCGTAAGTACATCACGAAGAGAACGTCCCTCCCCTCCGTTGCAGCACAACCATCTGTCTTTCTCAAGTGAAGCGAGAGGCGAGAGGCGAGAAGCGAGTGAGACAGTACAGTTCTCCCAGCATGGGCACATCTCCAGCAGGACCAGGAGCAGGAGCGGCCAGGCCAGGCCAGGCCCGCCGGAGCAGCAGTCGTATGTCATTCCATGTCACTTTATTA